TAGTTGTTCCTCTGCTCCAACACGCCTGATTTGAATGAAAGGGTGATTAACAGGCTTCAGCCGAACTTGAAGTAATGAACCCACTGAATCAGCTGTGGTGGAGCAGAGAATAAACTAAAACATGCATGGTGGTGTTCCTCAGGGACCAGGGTTGGGAAACATGTAACATCTGACAAAGTAACACTCGGTGTTAGTTCTGTCAGTATTAAAAGCGGCAGCAATACGCTTCCCTTCAAAGAACCGTAGGCCTTTAATTGAAGTTTTATGTGCCAATTTTCCAATCAAGTTCGTTATTTGTGTCTATTTTCTTTTTTTAATGATTGAAGGAAGCGTAGCTCGATCCTGAAGTAAATTTCTGTGGGTTTCTTTCCTCCAGGTGACTGCTAGCTGCCCAACGGTGTGCGAGTGCCCTGCGGAGCCCCTTATGTGCCCCCCAGGTGTTAGCACTGTTCCAGACAGGTGCAGCTGCTGCAAGGTGTGCGCTGCACAGCTTAACCAAGACTGCAGCCACACGAGGCCCTGCGACCACCACAAAGGACTGGACTGTAACTATGGCAACGACGTAGCCATGGCCTGGGGCATCTGTCGAGGTGAGGGAGATGATTACTCAGGAAAACTGTCATCAGCGGTGAATCAAACTTTATTTTTATTCTCAATCGCTGTCCAAAATATTTACAAGCTTTAAAAAAACAGTCCCAGGGAAACCGGCGTGCTTGTAACCTCACACAAACCGGGACATTTTAGTAAGTAGAGAATGTTTTCTGATGGCGAAGGGGGTTACAGAGATAAAAATACCCTTTCCTTGGGTACCATGCCGGTAGTTCCCCGCAAGCTATGAATAGCCAGTTCTTGGAGACGTGGAGTCTGACACTTCCTGTTTTCTTATTGTCACTACTTTTCAATCTTTAAGTTTATATCAGACATTTGTGACCTTCATAAACAAAAGAGCCATTTCTTGCTATTTCTATTGTGAGCAGCTACATGACTGAAATAAAGAGTAAAAAATGAAATATTTAACTCATTATTAGATTAATGAGACCTATGTGAGTCCATACTACGTTTCTGCAAAATGAACAAGTAACCATACTGAAATAACATTGCATCCAAGTGAATTATTGAGTAAACTAGAAATTAGGACATTTTGTTGTATATTTAATTGTGACTCACTAAATTTATTATGAATGGCTGCAAACTTCATTTGCTTAAGCTTTTACTCGTTTTGTTATGAAAAACAATCCTGTGCTTCCAATTCACATTATTTCTAAATGACCTGCCATCTTTTTGTAGCATGTCTGATTCTGATAATGATTCTGTTCACTACTACCAGGAATATATTTGCAAAACAGCACTTTGTTTCCCCCTCCCAGCAGCGTTCTGTATATACAGACCCTTTCCAAAAAAATATAATATCATGGAAAAGTCCAGGGGCCTTTCTGGGTGGAGTTTGCATGTTCTCTCCGTGCATGCGTGGGTTTCCTCCGGTTACTCCGGTTTCCTCTCACAGACCAAAAACATGCATGTTAGGCTGATTGGTAACTCTAAATTGTCCCTAGGTGTGAGTGAGAGAGTGAATGATTGTTTGTCTCTGTGACCCTGTGATGGACTTGCGACTCGTCCAGGGTGTACCCCGCCCCTCGCACTGTGATTGCTGGACATGGGCACAGGCGACCCCCGTGACCCAAAATGGAAGAAGCAGGTAAAAGATGATGGATGGATCATGGAAAAGTTGTTTAACATCCATAATTCCATTCAAAAATTTGATATTTAATAGATGATAGATTCAGGGCCCACAGTTTAAATGATTTCAAGTATTTTATTTGTTTATTTTTACATAATTTGGGCTTCCAGCTCATGAAACCCACAAACAGGATTTAAAAAAATTAGAGTACTGTGGAGTAATCAGTCTAATTTTGCAGGGCATGAATGTTTTAAACTGAGTGTGACACACTAATCATCTGCTAAACTCAAAGAACCTGCACAGGTTTCCCCAGGTGTCATTAAATTGCTTCAGTTTGGTTCAGTTGTCTCAGTTCGGTTCAATATGGGAAGACTGCAGACATAACAACTGGTCAGAAGACCATCATTGATACCCTCCATAGGATGGGTAAGCCACAAAAGTTCATAGCTAAGGAGGCTGGCTGTTCACAGAGTGCTGTGTCCAAGCATATCAATGGAAAGTCTAGTGGAAGGGCAAAATGTGGCAGGAAAAGATGCACCAGTAAAAGAGATGACCGTGGGTTTCAGCGGATTATCAAACAGAGAAGATTCCAGAATCTGGCAGAGATCCAGAAAGAGTGGAATGAGGCGGGAGTCACAGCTTCAAAAACCACCACATTCAGACGCATCCAGGAGATGGGTTACAAATGTTGGGTTCCTCGGTCCTCTTTTCCAATGAAAGTAAAGTGTGACTTTCATTTGAAAATCAAGGTCCAAGCGTTTGGAGGAAGAAGGGAGAGGAACAGAGCCCATACTGCTTGAGGTCCAGTGTAAAATATCCACAGTTAGTCATGATTTGGGGTGCAATGTCCAGTGTAGGTGTTGGTAAACTCTGCTTTCTTAAATCCAAGGTCACCGCAACAGTCTACCATAATGTTTTATAGGACTTCATGATTCCTTCTGCTGTATGGAGATGCAGATTTCATCTTCCAGCAGGACCTGGCCCCTGCCCATGCCGCCAGAAGCACCAAAACCTGGTTTGATGCCCAGGCCACAGTGCTTGACTGGCCAGCCAACTGGCCGGACCTAAACCCCATTGAGAATCTATGGAGTATTGTCAAGAGGAAAATGAGGGGCACCAGACCCAACAACAAAGAAGAGCTGACAGCAAGCATCAAGGAAATCTGGGCTTCCATAACTCCATTCAAAAAGTTGATCTTTAATAGAAGATAGATTCAGGGCCCACTATTTAAACAATTTCAAGTATTTATTTGTTTATTTTTACATAATTTGGGCTTCCAGCTCATAAAACTCACAAAAACAGGATTTCAATAAATTAGAATATTGTGAAGAAATCAGCCCACACTTCTCAGATTTTGCAGGAAAAAAAAGAAAGAAATAAAATTGGAATCACAACAATTCAGTCAAAATATGGTACTTTTCAAAACGATATGTCAAGCTTCAATACTTTGTTGGGAATCCCTTTGCCTTAATCACTGCCTCGATGTGATGTGGCATTGAATCAATCAGCCTGTGGCATTGACTGGGAGTTATGGAAGTTAAACAACTTTTCCATGATATTCAAAATTTTTTGGAAATGGTCTGCATGTTAAAATATTGTAATCATTTAGTGGATCTCGGTGACTTTGTGCAAGAAGTTCAATTAACGAGGTGTTAAACTGGCTCACAGCATACAGACATCATGTAAAACTTACAATTAATATTATCATTATTATAATTAAACTTGTAACTTAAAATACTGATACAATTAATCTTTCCTATTGTTGTTCTAAGTATAAATATTAATAACTATGTTGGACCAACATAGAAACCAAAAGGAGTCAAAAAGCTGCATGGTTGCAGGTTGGCATACTGCCAAACCCCGATCAGTACCTAAAAGTGTGAAATCATTGTTTAGGAGTCTGTGAGCAATATTTGATTGATTATTCAGGTCTCTTTTAAATTAGGTCGTTTTCACACCAGATAGTCCGGTAGACTCGGTTCGGGACCAATATTCATGACCTTTTGTTTACATGTGAGCTGGTGAGTTTGCATTCACACTGCACTGTGCAGTCGAGTCAACCTGTTGAACCAACCTGTTCCCCCGCTCGCCTGTGGGGGCGCTGCACCAAGAACTACTGAAAGAAACAACACAAAAACCTCTGAAGACACGTCTTCTTCTTCTGTAAATAAAAATAAAAACGAAGTGGCATCAAGTTTTAGCAGTTTTAAGAGTTATATTTTGTCATTTTTCAAAAATGGACTTAGAATGAGCAGAAGATGAGACAGAAGACCGTGGAGAATATTGTTTTTCCACACAAGGCAGCTGACGGCTCCATATAAGGTCAGAGAAATGTGTGTTTGTTTACCCTGCGGAGCGGTCTGGTCTGTTTACATTCACACTGTACTCGAACCGCACTGGAGTTCGCTTCTACCGGACCGAGACCTAGGTTTTAGCCCGGGCCAGAGTTCGGCTTTTTGTTGCGTGACAGAGTTAGATGACGCTTTCACACCTCCCTAAACGAACCGGACTTTCTAGGAAAACGAGCTAGAGTTCGATTAAAGCGGACTAAACAGGGCTAGTGTGAATGCACCCTGAGTCTCCGAGGCTCAATGGGACTAACCTGTATAAATAAAGGTTGAATGAATATTTGATTGTCAATTTTAATGCTCAAGTCGAAGTCTTTTTTTTGTTTTGTTTTTGTTTTGTTTTCTGTTGAAAACAATCCAAAAAACTAACTTAAAAAAAAAGGTTGAGTGCAGTCGGAGCTCTTTCTGCTGACTGTAGTTGGTTGAAAATGTTGCAGCTAAACTCATTATTTTGACTAAAATACACACAAATGATCTCTTACACTAATTCTTGTTTCTCTTGTGTTCCTGATGTTTGTGCTGAATTTGAAATCCAACGGCTCACCTTCAAAATCTCAGATCACGTTCTCCCTAAATGCATCACAGACCTAATAATTTAGGAAAACCTAATCCCTGAGATCCTTATGCAGTGCTTTGTTAATCATTCCCAGTTAAATGTTTGTGACAAAGACTCGGACTTCTCTTACATTTTAGAGAACTCTCTGCGCTGATGTCAGACCCATTGAATCTTTATTTACCTTTTTAAAATCAGAAAGTTTTATTCTTTGTGGAAAACCTTTCCTATCCCTTCTTGCTAAACGCTGTAGCTTTCTGTAATTACTGTGGAGTCTTCATAGCAGTCAAGTGTAAATGCATGTCATGTTACATCTTGCTGCACTCTTTCTTTCAGAGTAAATGAACCCAATTCTTTGTTCTCAACCTGAATAGTTGCAGCAAATCTTCACATAACGATTCACAGCTGCCTGTTGTTGCTTGAGGCCTAAGTGTTTTAAAGTACACTCCGATTGAATGAGCGGTTTTAGCATCTAGTGCAGAACATATATTGTCTTGTTCTATTGTTCAGCCAAATCCGAGGGACGCTCATGTGAGTACAACAGCAAGATCTACCAGAACGGTGAGACCTTCCATGCCGGCTGCAAACACCAGTGCACCTGCATCGATGGAGCTGTGGGCTGCACGTCTCTCTGTAGCAACAAGCTGCCACCAGCGTCACGATCCTGCCCCTACCCACGGCTGGTCAGGAGACCGGGACAGTGCTGCTTCAGTGTCGACTGCCACAAAGACGCCTGGCTTCTTCCACCTAAACACAAGGTTTGTTTTCTCTCTGGTTAAAATATAGAGAATAGAGGGGGGTGGCTGTGTCTGAGTGGTTAGAGCAGTAGTCCTCCAATGCAAGAGTTGGAGGTTTGATTCTACCAGCAGTCACATGCTGAAGTGTCCCTGGGCAAGACACTGAACTCCTCATTGCCTCTGTGTGTCCCCTCGGTGTTTGAACGCGATAAAGCTCTGATTATTCTTTGTAGAGATCTAGTAGAGTGCTGTATGAATGGGTAAATGAGGCACAGATTGTTGTAAAGAGCTTTGAGTGTCTTGATTTGTTAGAAAAGTGATGTACAAGTACAGTCCATTTACCATTATGTAAACACAGTTGCAGCATAAAATATATCACCTTTCATCTTTATTGTGCCAGGTGCCCCCACTACAACAGCACCTGCCCAGACCTCAGGACCATGCTGTGCCACAGAAGCCTCAAACTGAACTGGTCCTGACCAACATGCTTCCAGATGTCAAGTCCAGAAACTGGGAGAATGGTGTAGGCTTTAAAAATCTTCCTGGTGAGTACGCTCAGTGTTTGAACTTTCCTGAAATGAAAGTACAGTAGTTTTTGTATCTGGAGCTTAATTTTCCTGACCATAACATCAGATATATTTAATTTGTTTGTTTTTCACAAAGTTAAGACTGTCCAGAGTAGAGGAGTCGGAACAAACCTCCTGGACTCTTACAAGTGTAGCAAAACCTGTCTGTTCTGTCTTCATACCTGCAAACTTGTCACTTTTCGGCAAAATTAGCCCATTTCAAACAAAATGTGTCATTTACGTGAATCCTCTAGATCCGAAGAGGTTTTTTGTGTGTGTGTGTGTGTGGGGGGGGGGGGGGGGGGGTCGGAGGCATGGTAGATGCATAATTTCCCACTGGCTGGACTTTAAGAAACAACAAGGTTTCTGTCTACAACAGAACATCTTTGGTGGAATGTGACTCATTTGGCCGATCACAACCAAGACAGACGATGGAGAAATCTTTCCCATGGTTGAAGGAAACTGGTCTCCATTATAACTAGTCACTTCTAATGTTGAACACTGTTAGTTTTGAGTTAAGTCTTGTTATCTGCCATCAGTATAATATAATAATATGCTGTTCAAGTTAAATTTGATTTGAAAAAAATAATCCTACATTAGCAACGTTGTATCGTAATCCATTACCTTTCCCAACATAATGTTATCTGTAATGGAAAGCTTGTCAGCATGTAATGCTAGGATGTCAGATCAGTGACTTGTGCGTTAACGTTAGCCTACCATGTCACTCGGTTCAATGCGAATAATTTTGGGAAGGCCATCTGTAATGCATCCATACTGCTGTCCGACAATAATGTGTCATTGTCATAAGATGAGAGCAATGAAAACTAACACGTAACGTTAGTGCCAATGAAACACACCAGTGTTTTGTTGAAGTGCCAAAACATCTGCTCTGGTGAATAACTGGAAAAATAAATAGGGCAGAAGTGGTGGAGCAACAATGTGGCATGAACGAGGCTCATGGCCATGAAGCAGAAACGAGCTCTTGAAAGGCTCGTCCAGGCCCAAAAAATTAAGAAATGAGTTTCTGCTGTTAGTAAAATAATCTGCTGTATTTGGTTTCTCTGGTTGCTGTTGTTGCTTGTTGATTTTTTTTTATTATTTGGTTGACGCCATCTTTCATATGCATGTCGTAATTAAATTAGGACATGTTAGTAAATGTCTTTTGTTACCTGAAGCATGTTGTCTTTTCCTCTAATTTTCTTCTTGGAGTTAATTTACATGTTAAAAATCACAAAATCTTCTGGGGGTGGGAGGATTCACACCCCCGGGGTGGTCACACCCCTCCCCACTACAGGCGCTAGGTAAAGTTAAAAAGTTTGACCTTTTTCATCCCTTCTGAGTTTGCAGGCATGTGTCTTTCATCTGTCACAATCAACACGCGTGTAAAAATGTACACACTTAAAATAAGGTATTAAAAACAAATGTACATGGAAAACAAAATGTCTTTTTGCTATATTTATGTATCAAATCAACAGGCAGTGGCAAAACCTAAGAAAAGTTAAAGTGAGTAATTGAATCGATCATCACTTTGATCGCTGCTTTAAAAGTTTACAGAAAATATAAATAAATATAAAGTGTGTGTGTGTATATGTACTAAATTCTTAGGCCTTCTCTGAAGGCGTAGGAGGCCCTGCTGGTTCTCCACTAGTTTTAAATAATTGACTTTGGGAATGTCCCAGCCTTTTACTAACTGAACTACAGCTGTAGACTGTTTATTCTCTAAAAATAACATTTATTTAATCATAAAATCAGCAGATTAGTCACTGGTAGTGATGATGTTTCTCTTCCAGTCGGCACACAGAGTTGCTGTGAATGTCCTCGAGGTCTGTGTGCAGCTGTTTGATTGGCAGGAGGGTAGAGTTTCACTTTTATTTTCAACACAGCAACACTTCAGACACACATACACCTGCTCAGTAAAAGGCTAATAATGTGGCTGATGACTGACTGACTGGTAAAAGAAAACTCAAAATATTTGGTCTAAATTTTGTCTTATTTGGTTTTTTTTTTTTTTTTTTTTTTTGCATCTTTAAAAAAAAAATAAAGAGTAGGAACATTGTCCTAAATTTTAGATGGGCAACTCCAAGATTAACTGATTTTATTTGTTATCATTTTCTTGGGGAGTGGTGGCGCAGAGGTTAGAGAAGGAGGGCCTGTGGTTGTAAGGTCGCCGGTGCAACTCCCTGGACTGACATCAAAATATGAGTGGGAAAGGTGAAGCACCCACACCTGCCTCCACCCTCATTTGCCCCATTCTGGGCCCTTGAGCAAGGCCCTTAACACCCACCATCTACTCCCCTGGGTGCCCTTGATGGCAGCTCTGCTCCACATGGAGGGCTGAGGTAGCTCAGTGGTCTGTGGTTGTGTCAGGAAGAGCATCCGGTGTAAAAACAATCACCAAGTCTTTGTCAGTTCGCTGTGACCCCTGATGAAGGGAGCAGTTATAAGAGAGAAAAATTCAATTCAAAAATACTTTATTAATCCCAAAGGGAAATTATTTGTTGTTGTAACTCATTATCCTCATTTCATTGAGATGTTATAGATGCTGATGGCTGTAAGCAGGAAGGATCTCTTGTAAAGGTCCATCCCACAGTGGATCCTAAGAAACTGGCTGCAGATGCCGTCTGATCCATCCACCCAGACTCTGCTGGCCTCTCAGTTCCCCCGGGCTGTAGGACCGCCCAAATGCCAGGCAGAACTCCTCCCAGAGCGATGGCCACTCCTCCCAGCAGTCTGCCGAGCTCCTCCTCGCTGCAGACAGCCAACGGTGCCGAGGGACGATCCTGTCCTTCCACTGTCATGAGCCTGTTTCCTGCTAGTTCCAGGATCTCAGTGGTCAGGCACTCGAGCACAGCTGGCAGGTAGATGAGAATTCATCCACAGAACATCCTTTTCAACTCATTTGAGATTTGAGGCTGTAGTTGAGATATATTAGAGCTTTTGAATCAGCTGCTGTTGGTTGTAGAAAACTGCCTTGTTGCCATGGTTACGCATCATAACGAATGTCCAAAACTAAAAAAGTTTCAGTAAAAATCCTTCCAGCTGCACAGCATCTGATACCAGAGGAAACAATCATCCAAAAAATGTGATTTACTTCCAGAAAAAGATTAAAGTTTCCAGAAGCAAAATTTCAGAATGAAAGTAACTGAGCTGCTCCAGCATGTAGCCACCTTGAGCGGTGCAATTCTAGACATAGGCGTAGCCAGGATTTTATGAGGGGCGGTTCGTTTGAAGAAAAAGTGGACCTGTAGGACTACTCTGATTGGTTCATTGGCGGTGGTACACATAACTTCAAATGTGTAAACAAGCTAATTAGCTAGCTAGTTAAAACACTGCTGTGTGAGGTAAATCTGTGTTACCAAATAGGCGGTTGTGAGTGGAGAAAGAGCAACACACTGAGAGGGGAATAGCGTGTGTGTCCAGTCTTCTATTCAGAACTCATCCCAGACACGAACGAACACTTCGGTACTCCCGAGTCCCGCCCGAACATACACAAAAAAAAAAAAAAAACACCGAAGAAGAATGAAAGACGTCATCCTCTTAAAGGCACAGTACCACTCCTTAACTCTAACAACATAAATGCAAACTAAGCCCGCAAATAATAACATTACTTCAATTGCAAAAATAACTCATCTTTTTACTTTGCTTTGTTAGACATTGTTTTTTATGAATGAAATTACTTCACCTCGCAGTTCTATATCTCGCGGGAGTTGTAGGTGGGACTTCATTGGCAAAGTGGGCGGTTCGTTCGAACCCCCCGAACCCCCCCTGGCTACGCGCATGCTAGAACTATATCATTTCAACTAGAAATATATAATTTTCTCATTTCTCCAAAAATCTTCAGTGTGGGACACCCCCGAGGAGGAGGAGTGTTCTGTCCTAACTACCAGGTGGACCCGGTGCTCTCGCAGCTGCGGGATGGGTGTTTCTTCCCGCCTCTCTAACAAGAACCCTCAGTGCAAGCTGAAGAAGGAGACGAGGATCTGCACCGTACAGCCATGCCACAGCCTGGCTGTCCCCATCAAGGTGAGCTGGACTGAGCTCAGGGAGGAGACGACACATCACCGAGAGTCTAACCTTGTTCTGCTGATGATGCTTAGCAAACGGGGATTATTTCTCTTATCGGTGTTTGACTATAAGATTTAAAAAAGTAAGACCACAGACTGAAAGTACCAAACCTGTACAGCAAAGGATGAAAAATAGATGTTGTTCAGAGTAAATATGATTTTAATATAAAGACATCCTCTTTATGCTGAGCCTCAGTGCACAGACTGTATCAGCAGTAATTTTGGAAGCACCACATCAAGTGTTCAGCTGTGTTTTGGTGGCAGGCAGGCGCCCTTTTTAAATATAGGCCATTAGAGTCGGCATTCCTGCCAAGACAGGGGGGATAGTCTGACCCTGTCTGTGTACTTCAAGTCCAGGGAAACGTCTATATTAACCCGCTGCTTTTAACACACTCTTTCTTCAGCTCCACTGAGGTTAAAGCTCTGGTGATACAAGTGGACACAAATCAATTTATTTAAAGGCAAATGAATTCAGTCACCTTCTTCTGAAAATGATTAACAAAGCTTTGGTAATCACAAAGTGGAAATAAAGAATCGGAGTGTGAACGTAAAGAAATAAAAAATAAAAAAAAATTGTCAGTTCTATGTAGGAGCTGCTAACAGTGCTGATCTTTCTCCTTTTCCATGTTTCATCCACAGGAAGGTAAAAGCTGCTCCCCGACTCTGAAAGCCCCAGGCCCCCTCCATCTGTCCTATGGGGAATGTACGAGCATCCGTCTCTACCGCCCTAACTACTGTGGTGTGTGTACAGGCGGCCGGTGCTGCTCGCCGCGGCGCACACGCACCGTGCCCGTGACTTTTGTGTGTCCAGACGGCGAGTACTTTGAGAAGCCGACCATGTTTATCCAGTCATGTAAATGCAACGATGACTGCGACCACCTGAATGAAGTGGCCCTTCCCCCACAGCACTGGATGTACGGAGACACCCACAAATTTACTGAGTGAACCTCGGTGTTATAAATATGAAGAGGACGCTTCTCGAGGAGAGTGAATACCAAAAGTAACCCTTGGTTACTAATCAATATTTTACAAATAACCCAGATTGTAATATATATATGTGACCAGAGTGGATTACACACTCGTTCTTCTTTAAACTGACGAGAGACTTAAGTGAAAGTCCTGAACCCCCCGATGTCTGAAGTGACTGCTGGTTCAGGATTTGAACATGTCAGATGCTCCTATCAGCTGATACGAGACAAAAGCAACAAAGCACTTTACTTGATGACCTGTAGAATAATATACAGTGGTGGTGGGATGTGTCCCCCTCCCATGGCAATTTTTCTGTTTTTACTGTAATTTAAAACCTAGAATTTAAACTGATTTTCAAATTGATCATAAGCAATGGACCTACTCGAAACGGGGAACGGAACCTGTGATAAAGGAGGGACTACTGTATTTAGCTCCATTTTTACTTGAACTCTTTCAGTCCCTGCTAATGAAATTCACCACAGCTCCATGTTGCCTTGTAGGAATGCTGTTATCTTTTCTAGTCCACCCTTAATCTGTAGTTTTCCACAACCTGTGTAGAGTTCCTTGGTCTTCATGGTGGTAGCTCTTAGAACAGTTTGTTCTGGGTGCTGTTACAACAGATGTATGGATCCTGAGATCATTTGACACTTTGTTGCTCACAGGTAGATTTGAACTGAACATGTGGCATCTGAAGGTCATTGAGCTTCAAAGTAAATGGGGTGAACAATAAAAATCTCCATAATCTCAATACAAAAATGCTCAATCCAGGTAAAAATCCAACATCGTTTAGTTTTGTGAAGAGACGTTTACATGGATCTGGAAGGCAAAGTCAAATTGGGAGCAGCTTCCCCGTTAGCAGGTTGTTGTACAAGTTTGTTTGGCTGTATTTCTGTGGATTGTGTGCAGGACAGAAAGTGAGGTTTAAAGCCTCACTCCGTTTGGTTCTGAACCTGATGTATTTTATGCAAGTCCATTACATTTAATCATAATTAAGTTCCATTTATACCCCAGACTGTAAGATGGTGAATACTTTGTCCACTGCACCAGCAGTAAGAATATTTTAATAACCTCGCACTTCATTTCCCATAATGCACTGGACTCCTTAGTGACGACCTAAAGAAGCAGCAACTGTTTTCTTGTTGTAATGGGATTTGTAGGTAAGCCTTTATTTGAAATGTACAAACTCCGTACAGAGCGTTGATGAAATATAAACAGATGTGCCTTGAACTCTTGAAATGCCATGCACACACCAAACATAACACGCTGTCAAAATGACTGAAAAACATTCAGAATAATTTCATACCAACTACTTGTTTTTTTGCATTAAAATGTAGCATAAGAAAATAAATGTATTTGTTTGATTAGAGTTCTGCAGTTTTCTATCTGAATTTGTATATCTGTCACATTTCCACTGTTCAAACCATAAAGTGGAGCTAATACGGTTTTAAATTTGTATCTGAGCCTTTGTGACTATTACAGCTTCATTTGTACAGTTTCAAACTTTGCTTCTTGATTTGACATTTTCAGACCCATGGTGGAAAACACTTCCTTGGTTGTTGAACGTGGTGCACGTCTGCTAGGGGTTGCAATTATCCACAGTCAAAGTTACGTCTGCAGCAATTTCATTTAACATTTAAAATACTTCTTAACATCCGAGGTATGCTGAACTGAATCCAATGCTGAAAATCATGTACGTTACAAAACAAATTTATTTCTTTAACAAACAATTATATCCATGGTTTACACAAGGAACACACTCAAACACTCTGCAAAGACAGGAGAAAATAAAAAGTCTTTAGAATTTGCCTACATACATGTTGAAAGTAGTAGTATATTTAAACAGTATCGTTTTTCTTCCTTCCACTAACGGGTTAGCATCAACAATAGTCGCACGTGGTCTTCACGGGCAGGACACCCCACACTCATCTGGACTGCTCAACTGCAAACGGAAACCACAATTAGAAAATGACAGAACAAATCTGGCTTTGCAAAGTCAAAGATATGTTTCATTTTATACGCTCATATTTAGTAAAACTGCAAATTGACAGAATTATTGCCCTGTCGTGAAAGGCAGGCACTCGGGTAACCGCTTGTTTGTAAATGCATTGGTCTGTCAGCAAAATATAACACAGGATGGGTATTATAGGAACATGCAGGAAATACTGATCAAACTGATCAAAGTTTGAGATTAGTCCAATTCAAGATGGCTTCCACAGCTAGTTGACTTTAGTAATCAAAAATATACCATACCACTTTATTTATAGAGCACTTAAAACAGCAACTAGGCCAACCAAAGTGCTGTACAGCAGAACATACAAGCAAAACACAGCAAAAAATAAAGTAAAATAAAAATATAGATACAAATGGAAGAAGATGATAACTAAATGGCTAACATTTGTAGAATACAAACAGGTAAGCCAGAGAATAAAAGTGGGTTTTGTAAGTGAGATTTAAAAACTGAGAATGGAAGCCTGCCTGACATGTAGTGGTAACTCAATCCACACTCTTGGACCTGCAACAGAAAAGGTCCTGTCACCTCTGAGTTTGAGACAGGTTCCTAGAACCGAAAGAAGCATCTGGTCTGCTGACCTCAGAGAGCGCTGTGGGATGGCTGCAGCAGATCAGCGAGATAAGTGGGGGCAGAACTGTTCAGTGATTTAAAAACATACACTGTATTTTGAACTGAATTCGAAAGTGAACCGGGTGCCAGTGCAGGGAGGCCAAAACTGGAGTAATGTGCTCTCTTGCCTGTACCGGTTAAAAATCGGGCAGCAGCATTTTGGACTAGTTGCAATCGTGCAATAGAGGTCTGACTGATTCCAAACAGAAGTGCATTGCAGTAATCGAGCCTGGATGTTATGAACACGTATTACAGTCTCAAGGTTATTTTTGAACAGTATGGGCTTCAGTTTAGACGGTCGCCTCAACTGAAAAAAAAAAAAACAACCCAGGATTTAACAAACATGGCTGTTATGTTTCATGGAAGGGTCCATTTTCACTCCCAAATTTGTGACTCATTATTTCTCTAACGGGACTAGACAGGAGAGGTTGATACTGTGGTTCTTGATCATGCCATTAGGAGGAAACAACATGACCTGTCGAATGTCCGCTCGTTGGACAACAAGGTGGATTTACTTTGTCTGAGAGCGGGCGCCTCAGAAGAGATGAAGAAGTGTGCAGTGCTTTGCCTCACAGAAACGTGGATTACAAGTGAAACGCCGGACTCAGTCTTTCAGCTGGATGACAGACTTTTTTTTCGAGCGGACCGCTGCAGCGAGCTAACGGGGAAATCACGGGG